GGGGGGGGGGGGGTCTTAAAACTCGATTTACTACTTTGGACTAATTTGTTTACCCGCACAACAGAACACAAAAAAAAGAGCTGTTATTCAAAAAGGTTTGAGGTGATACAAGCAGAGAAAACAACTAGAGGGGTTGGTTCGAAAGAGTAAACAGATGAATGTGCTCCCAATAGCGGAAATTCATGTGATTCTGCCTGAGGAAGAATAAAATAAACCAGTTTTAGGGCCAAAGATCTTTATTCAAATGTGGTTTTGTTTCACGCTGTTAAACAAAGTAATTTGTGTGTTAATGACATGTAAAGAGAAACATTAGATTAGTTATCTAAGAGCTGTGCTAGGGATTATGTAAGGTCAAATATGCACGTCATGCACTAATAATGATAAAGGTGTCCACCCACCTGTTTTTAAATGCGTATTTTAAATTTGCATACATAAAAACTTGAGTGGAAGTTGAACTGTTGCCCAGATGTCTTTACATGCGGAAAGTGGAAATATTGGTTTATCCATAAAAACTAAATGTAAGAAATCATGAGGTACATAAGTGACTTAAACGTTCGCTGAAGAGACGGGAAACATCAGATCTGTGTGGAGCGATAAGGAGCGATAATGAAACAAACATAAACCATGTTTCTACATTTCTTTCCACCGTTTGAGGTTAGACTGGAGGATCTATTAGCTGAAGTGGAATATAATATTCATAGGTATGTTTTTATTAGTGTATAATCACCTGAAAATAGGTTTTCGTTACCTTAGAATGAGACGGTTTTATCAATGGGGGAGCTAGTCCTTTTCCACGGCACAACAATATTGCCTTTTACTGTCAGTTTTCATATCTAATTGCAAGACTCAAGACAAAATCTGGCATGTGCTGATTTACCACTACTCTCAAAACATTACTGTATTGTAACTGCAATGGTATTACCTCACTATTCCCAAGATATCACCCTTTATTACCTTGTTTTTAAGCCTCAAGTTGGACAGTAGCTGAGGCCATAAAAAAGCCTTATATACTTGTATATACTGTTATTGGGTAGTTATTATAACAAAACATCATATTCTATAAGCTCTTTGTGTGTTTTGTATGCATAAATGTAAAGCTGTCAGTAGAAAGTGGCATTAAAAGAAAAGAATCAAGTACAAGAACCTCACATTTGTACTTAAGTCCGGTACCTGAGTAAATGTACATAATGTTACATTGCCCCACAGTGTAAGTCACTGAACCCCGACCTCATCACTTTAAAGTACGGGGAATTGCGGTAAAATGCAAATATTTCCCCTCAGTGTGTAGAGGGGTGTGATAATAATAATGATGATGTATATCTCAGGGCCCCTCAAATGCATCTTCACACATGCTTGCACACACTCCCACTCACACATTCAGCTCTACTCATCATCTTGACAGAAGGGGACCGGTCTCACCTGTCAGCATGATTAGTGTCTCCACGGCAACCGCGACACATCCTCTCCGAGACCGAAGGACAAATCGCAACCTTTTTTTCCCCGAACCATCAAGGAGCTATTTTGAAGAGAAAGTCTAAGCGTTTTCTTGCGAAGAAATCTGTGATCTGATCATTTTTGATCATAAACTCTGTGATATGAATTTAAGAGTCTCTTCGTGGAGGGAGAGTGCCACTTCAACTCTGTTTTTATGTCTTTTTTTAATGAGATATCCACCTTTTGGAGAAAAAGTGCTGGTATGTTTCATATGACACACAGACAAATTGTCAGTTATCATGTAGTCTGAAGCTTTCATATTTTTCCCCATACTGAAGAATAGATACATTTTTTCCTTCAAGACAAAGTAATTGATTGATTCAGGAATGAGCTCTTCACTATGTTTATGTGGTTATTTTCTTGATTGATTAGCACAGAGGTATGATTTTACTGTGTCTTATTTCAAAATACTTGCACTTCCTAAAGCAAAGGGAACCACGTTGGAAAAACAAGTGTTATTACCTGACCTCAACGGCATTATTCTCTCACTTAACAGCTGAATAAAAGACTGTAGTTTCATATGTATCATTTGATATTAACACAGTATATGTAATCTATATTCTCTATCACCATCATCAAGGATTATGCGAGAACTTGGGCTACTGTTGATGTATGATTTGTGCAATGTGCATGACGGTGATTCATCACTAATTCACTTTAATAAAGATAATGGTATTTTTGTCATCACCATTGAAGCGTGGGTGCACGATGTCATTAACTTCAGATGAGAAAATATACATAAAATAAACGTTCCTAGTCCCAGTCAGTGCGCGCTGAATCGCCAATATTCATTTCTCTCCCCCAAAGTGCTATAGTTTGCACATTCTTGGCCTCATCTCGACACCAATGACTCGTGACTTCATTTCGACTTGGGCCTTTTGACTTGAAATTACTTGATACCTTCCCTCAAGCCAAAAGATTAAAAAGTAATTAAACAGTGTATAAAGACACGTTCCCTCATTATGATGAAAATGGGCACTGTAGGCTATTTCAAATCACTGTCCTGCTGCGGTAAATACTCACTAGAACACCACATGTGTATTTATTATTATTACTTAAGAAAATTACTTCTGGGATTTGTTAAACAACAACAGGAAAAATAGCCTGAAGCCAGTTTTACCCTTTATCTTTAAACCAAGGATTTTAACTTAAACGAGTTACTAGTTGTCCCTCCTGTATGTCTATTTATGTCCAATGTGGTATTTAGTGGCAGCTTTGAAGCTCCTCTTTTGATCCGCTCAGGTAGACATTTTGACTCGTGTATTGTAGCCATTTTGGGAAAGTAAGATCCACTAGTTTACATATTTTGGGATTTGGGGACACAATAGTGTGCTTTCCCTCTGATTTGAATCCCTCTCATCTTCCTTGTCAGTTCTCGTCTCCTACTGACGATGCAGATCTCATCTTAGTCACTGTTGTTTCATCTGTGTGGTCTTTCCTTCCATAACTATATATATATGTGTGTGTCTGTGTGTGTGTGTGTGTGTCAAATCCAATGACTCACTGCTGGTTCTGAATTTTTGCCACCTACTCCTCTTCTATTACTGTATCTCCATCAACGACTCCTTCCTTCTTCCTCTTTCCTGACACGTCTCTCTTTCTGTCTCTACCTCAAGTCTGTAATTTTCCTTCACGTTATCTTTATGTTGACATTCTCTGAGAGGATGTGGTGGGAAGATGCATCATAAGGGGATCGGTGTGTCTATGTGTGCATGCAGGGTGTCACATCTTGTCAAAATCTAGCAGCACTTCCCCTCCCAGTCGGGAGAATTGAAGTATAATTAAACAACTCAATTCCAGTCTCCACTCAGACTCAACTGATTTTAACTTATAAAGGTTGATATTGAGTTTGTTCTATCAAAGTTATCACTGTTTGTTCATTGTAGAAACTTGATTTGATATTTAGTTTCAATTATTCATATACAGATTAAAAATCGACCATTCACTTTGTAACAAATTGTTAAATAGCAATTTAATTATTGTACTCATATTGTGCTATTTCAGTGTTTTGTGTCGTACGGTAGCAAAGTTATTTTCATCTCCAAGGAACATTTTTAATGTAGCACTTTCCTTGTTTTGTCCTCTGGTAAAATATATAGCCTAATAAATGTTCCCGCACAAAATCTATTTTGCTGTTTAGATAATCAAAACAAGCAAGAGTGCTCACAGTAGCTGGTAAAATGATCTCAGAACATCATTTTTCTTCTACTTCAACATCTTATCTCCATCTAATTTGTTCCCAATTTCTCAGCTCCTCGACCTGACACCTCTATCACTGCTCCTGTTCCTTCTTTCACACCTCCTGTCATCAGTTTCTTTCCCTCCGGATTTATCATGCCTTATTTTCCCTTTCACTGATTGCAGCTTGTCTTTGTCTCTTTATCCGGAATATAGATGATATCTTTCCAAAACCAAATACCTAAGAGCAAAGGTGTAAGGAATGGACTGATCTGTGTGTAAGCTGCAAACAAAGAGAGTCTCATCTTCCTCCCACTGTACAAAAATGAAGCCAAAATATCAGGGATATGGCCGCTGCCTTTTTTTGGCATTTGGAGCCAGAGTCTGCGCAGTAGTGATCGAGGTTGGCGCCGCTGTATCGAAGTCCTGGCCATACACCCCGGCCGACTCAATCGCGAGCACGGCTCAGCTGTCAATTATGACTTAAAACCCCCATTTTATAGCTTCAAATAACTAATTAAAACCAAAGTTATCAAATGAACTTTTGAACACACATCAGCGTGATAAAAAGTACCTAAAATGCCAGAAACCATCTTTAGGAAAAATTTACTTGACATGTATTATTTGTATAATTTGACGGTCCGTTTGCCTTTCTTCCTGTCACTCTGCATCACTTTTACTGAGACAAATGCCTGTATGTGTACTGTACTTGGCATATGAATTGCATCTGGCTCTGATCTTTATCTACCCCTTCATTTTGCAACCTCTGCAGGTCCATCACCAGGGCTTACTACCGTAACTCTGTGGGCGGGCTACTCCTGTTCGACATCACCAACCGTCGCTCTTTCCAGAACGTCCACGATTGGCTGGAGGAGGCTCGCAGCCATGTCCAGCCGCACAGCATCGTCTTCTTATTGGTGGGCCACAAATGCGACCTGGAGGCACAGCGCCAGGTGTGTACGGTAGCCTATAAAAGTGAATGTGAACACAATATTCATAAGGCTTTACTGAGTTCAAATGTGTTGCTGGGGATGGTGCCTGTTTTAAATGTTATGTAATATACAATTTAGCAAGCATTAAAAATAACTATTTTGTTCACATTTAGATCAGAACGCATTGGATCAGAGGCGAGTCGTCATAGTTTAATTCTCTTGGGGCAGCTGGCAGAAAAAGAGAAAGCAAAAAATATCACCACTGAAATTTAGACATTACAGGATGACACTGCAAAATGCTCCGCACAACAGTGTGTCTACGCTCGTATAATACAGTGTTGTAGGATTAAAATCAAATAAACCAGGAATTATGTAAGATTTCCCATCTTAGCAGCTTCATTCTGATCTCGATCTGATCACTCTCATCACCTAATGTTGAACTGGAAGGCTCATTTACAAGACTCTTATCACACACATCTCACAAACTAATTGAAAGTGATGCTACTCTGCTACACTGCAAAATGATCTTTATCAATCTCGTGAGTGTGCAGTCTGGTTTACTTCAGCATAACCAAAATGCAGATTGAGACTCTATCGAGCAACTTTGGAAGCAGCGTGGTTGCGTGACCAAAAAAACATTTGCAATCTTGTATTTCATTCATTCAGAATAAGAAAAGAGCAATATTTAGTCAGTTCTAAAACATTTTGTGCAGGTTTCCTCTCTACTGCAGGGTCCTACCTCAGAGGGCGTTGTTCTGGCTTTTTTTTTAGGTTCTCAGAAGGTGTCTTACATAAGCTACACTAGCTCTTGACTGCCCAGTTTCCAAAGTTTTGTTTCATCTCATCTCATCTCATTTGATCTTCTAGGTGACCCGCCAGGAAGCAGAGAAGCTGGCAGGGGCGTACGGGATGCGCTACGTCGAGACGTCGGCCCGTGACGCCATCAACGTCGAACACGCCTTCACCGAGCTGACCAGGGACATCTTCGCCTTGGTGCGGTCCGGTGATATCTCAATCCAGGAAGGCTGGGAGGGCGTTAAGAGCGGGTTTGTCCCCAATGTGGTTCACTCCTCGGAGGAAGTGACCAAGAGTGACCGCCGCTGTCTATGTTGATCTGGCAAGAGTTTTAAGACTGAAGGTAAAAAGAGGAGGGATCAAGGAAGGATTCAGAGGGGAGTGGCTGATGGACTGAGGTGTCAGCCCTCTGACTGAAACAGTTGGTAACCCTCTATTGTTCTTTCTTCAGACTGGATACAGAGGAATTTCAATGGAAAGGCTAGTAGAAGGCGGAGAAGAACACCTTGAACGTGGGTGGATAGCTGAAGGGTTGCGCCCATTTCTGTATACCTTTTATTTCTCTCAGAGGAAGGATCACAGATGCTCATTTAATTGCGAGGGCTCCCACGATTCAATTCCTTTAGTTTTGTTTTGGGCTTCTTGCCTGAAAATCCCACCCTGAAAGTCTTGGAAAGGGCCTTAGAAAGACGATGACACTCTTGATGTTTCTTTTGGCCATCATCTCTTCCTTCACCTCTCCTCCCATTACTTCTTAATCTTCTCCTCTCCTCCAATATGCAATTACATGATCACATACGTTACGATCACTCTTACGTTGGTTTCCAACATCCTCCTAGCACATATCATTTGAAGAAAGTTTAGTCGGCACCGTTAGATTCAACCTCAAGAGAGAGTTCTCTTGTGCTGACATTTTGCTCCACATTCCACTATCAGAGCTCAATGGAGGAGTCCTGGAGGTCCTAAATATAATGAGGGAAGATGATTAACTTGGCAAGACACTCACATTATTTCTCTTCGGAGCAATTTAGGCCTCCAGTGAGCTCAATGACATTGACTACATGGTTATATCCACTATCATTCTGCTAAATGCCACACTATAACAAAACATCATCACCCATCCAGTTCCTAATGGACTCCTTAAACAGGAAGAGACAACGTGTACAGCTTAACTGACCAAGGTGGACTTGTTGGACTAGCTTAACAACTCCTAACTGTCTGCCTTGAACTGGGGATTTGTGAAGGTGGACCAATAGTAATGATGGATCCAGAAAGCACCTTAATAGCCACCTTAACTGTGGAGCCTCATTTGGGACTTTTGAAGGGTGCTAAACAAGCTTGAGATAATTTATTTCTTGAAAGCGAAGCAAACAGAGAGGGACCAGACCACGGACTCCACAAAAGAACCACTTCATCCACAATGCACGCATATGGACAATATAGTCATGAAAAGAAAGTCCAACTGGAAGGTCTTAAATTGAGCCAACACAAATACAGGCACGGGGAACTACAAGGTTAAATTTTGTTCTGAACAAGTGGTTTATATGCCTTTTTTTATGAGTGTGCGCAAGTGTAATATCTCATCACACCTTTATTTTTATTTTAACAGACTCCAATGCTACAGGTTGAGGTGACTGGCATAGTTACTTAGGCATTTTCTGTAGTTGCAAGACCCCACTTAGACTTAGAAACTTCATGCCTTGGAAGGTGGTTTTAGACGCACTCTCCCCAGATCTGGAGGCTGTAGTTTGCGGTGCTGTTCTGAATTCTGTTGTCTGTGTTATTTAGCCTACCCTTGTGGGTTGGACAAACTATAATAAACACCTCTCAGCATGATGCAACATTAACAGCACTGCAAACTGTAGCTTCCAAAATGACCATAAAGTTGACGGGTACAAACAAAAACTGAACATTACGCCCTTCCTGAAAGTAGGATTTATTGTTGGGCTGTTGTGTTAGTCAGCATTCATTTTAGCTAAGCGTACCTAATAAACTGGATCTTTAACAACAGGCAGATAGTGGCTTCAGTGATTTCAACACACATTATCATACAGAAGGTGTAACATGCATTTGTTCGATCCCTGACATATAAAAATGACATGTGTAAATGGGGCCAAAGAGTAGATCCAAACTGTATCGCACAAAACCATGCTATGGTAATGAGACTAACAGTGTGGTCACAGCGGGTGTTTTGACATTTTCCACCCTACGTGCTTCTGTGTGAATTCACCTTTTAAGCAGGCATTTATTTTGCTGTTACATTAAATAGTTTTCATGCTTTCACTCAAGCTGTCAGGCCAGCTACTGACGCATCTTTAAATGCCAAGGAAAATCAGAGGCAGTGAATCATGCTGTTTCATTGGCTTGCAGAACACGTGCAGAAAGGAAAAATTAAAAATGTCATATAAACGAGGTTTTAAGGAGCCTCAAAAATCATGTGAGTTGGCTGGCGACTTTTCTGCTTGAGAGACAACACTAGTAATCTACCAGTAGATTCCCATTCAAACTTTACCAAGACCAAATCTGTTTTATGTTTGTGTAAGCCACATGAACCTACATATTACTGACTAGGAACAGAGAGACTTTTAGCGTTGTTAGCAATTAAATGTACCTTACCTTATCTACCTTAAGTACCTGGTTGAGTTGGTGTAGATCCATATTTCTATACACCTTTGTTTGCAGAATCATTATTTAAGTGATTTCCTAATTTTCATATGATTTGATTGCGATTTAATTTTTCCAAGTCTATTTGAAACTTAATCTGATACACAGTCCTACATGAATGCCTATGCCTCTGCTATATTTCTTTTTCAAATTAATTTATCCAATGTCTTTCCCCATGCAGTTCATAATTAGAGTCATCTGATCAGTGAGGAAGCTGTAAGTGCTTCATTTTCTCACACTGTATGCCTTCTTGTTACATGTCTCCAAAGAGTTCTTGCTTGTGTTATCTTATTTTTACATGAATGTATCAGTAGAGGGGGGAAGTGAGATTTTACACCAAGTTGTCACATAAGAAATGTGTGAATGTGTGAATGAGAAACATTTCTAGTCAAAGTGACACACCCTTTTCCTAACTACAGCTTTGACAAAGGGGATCTAAATGTTTTGAGACTCGATGGAAATCATTCAAATGACAGTCCACTCTTCCACTTCTATACGCACTACATTACTCCTTACTGACATGAGTGAAATGTTGCCAGACAGAAAAAAATCGATCTGCAACAATCCTTCCAGGAATAAAAAGAAAAAAAAAAAAAGCCTGAGCTCTCCCTGGTGCCCTTGTGTTTTTGAAAATTTGACATTGAGGGTTATGTTTTATCTCACAACCGCTTTAAAAGATTGGTTTTCCTTTCTCTGCTTGCTGTATCATCACCGCTGCTTCCTGCTGAAACACTTTTAAACATTCCCAAGTGGCCGTCGCGGAGTAGACAGTTCAGAAGTGTTAAGGTCTGTGTGGGTGGGTGTGGATGCTGTCTCCTGTGTGCGTGTGCAGCTCCGCCTTATGGGCTGCCAAGACTCTTTACCAGATGTCAGCCGGCTGGTGGATCTGCTCACTGCTCTGCTGTACAGCACCTCTAAGCTCTGCTTCCACTCCACTGACATATTGTCAGTAGTTTCACATTTTTGGACGTGCGCTGATTCGGTGCTCCTGTTGAGAGTTAGATGATAAGACGCCACTCTCATTTCTGTTTCTTAAATATGCAGCTACTGTAAGCTTATCTTAGCACAAAGGCTGGAAACAGGCTACGTCCAAAAGTAACAAAACCCCGCAGCCAGCATCTCTAAATCTCACTAGTTAACTGGTCAAATCACGTTGGTTTAATCCACACAAAAAGAGATGGATTATAGGTTTTATGCTGAACTATTTCTTGGAAGTAGCTTCCTGGAGTCTCCGCTGGTTGCCAGGCAACCACACTATCACAAAAAAGACTTTGTAAGCCCTGTTAAACCATAAATTGTTGTTTTTACTCTTTGGTTTTTATACAGATTAAACAAACAATATATAATGTGTTAATTAATGAGCTTTAGAGATGCTAGTAGTTGGGGTTTGGCAACCCTAGGACATAGCCAGGTTAGCTGTTTCCCCTTGTTTATAGTCTTTATGCTAAAATAAGCTAACCAGCTGTCATTTTTAGCATACAGGTGTGACAGTGGCATCAGTTAAATTCCCTTAAATGTTTTTTACATTCTCCTACTATAATTTCTGTGTTCTCATAGTATACTTTTAGCATCCGCATGAGCCAGTGCCCCCTTTCACCATAACAGATGAATTTACTGAATCTAAATTTGGCCCAAAGTACAAAAAAATAATACAAAAGAGGACAAAAAATAATGTGAGGGAGGAATTTTTTGGGGATATATAAAAGGATAAAATATCCTTCACTTAGGCTAAATAAGCCTTTTAAAAACAATGAAATCCGTTGTCACAAAGCTTAAAATAACTTAATATAATGTGAAAAGTTATTATATTTTGGAGATATGTGGTTTTACAGGACAGCAAATCAAATTAAGGCAAAATTATTAAATTATGTTTAAGTTTATGAGAAAATGAACTTTAACTTATTTGGTACAATTGTTGAAACCGGCTCAAGGCTTGATTTGCTTTGAACACTGTCTGAATGGTCAGTAGTTAAACATTAAACATTAATCTTGTCACATCTAAATGTTGCCCAAGTGAAAATGACAGATCTGTGTCGAAAATGTGCAATACGGACTGAATACAAATCCATTTTTAGGGTTAAACAGCCAAGTCGATCTAATCCTGAAGCTGCCGTGCTTGGAGAGAATTCAGCTGATTCCAGTAAAACACAATTCAATCAGTGTGTGAAATAAACAGCAAGCAATTAAACACTGAAAGTGTCCTTCTGGGGCTTCTAGGAAAGAGGAGGCCATTAGAAAGGCCTCCTCTTTCCAGCTTCTACAGGTCTGGAAGTGGCTGTTAATGTTTTTTTGGCTTGACTGTGGGTAAAGCTAATTAGTTTCCTTCTCCACCTCCAGTGAGTCTTCAGTAAGTCACATGACATACTGTACATGAAAGAAGCTGTTTTTGGGCCGACTGGGCAGTCCACTCCATCAAGTTTGTCCCTTTTTTTTACACAAGCTTCAGTATTTTCTTGATCTGACGCTTGGTGCAAGCAGAGATGTGGAAATTCAGAGTCGCTGACAAAGTCACTCCCAGACGACATGAAGGGCACGTTGAAAGAATCACACTCATATGATGGAAAGCAGTTTCATGTTTGACAGCCAAGCCAATCGGCTTTTGGGCTTCTTTCCACAGAAACGTACCGGGATGATTTACGGGCACTCAACGCCATTCTCTGCCAGGATCCTTGGCAGCGCTCGGCTTCACTAAAGCTGCTTTCACACACAGAATGCATAAGACCGCACTCTCACACAAGCTGAAGAAAGGGCTCTGTTGTAATTCTGTTTGTTACAAATTCAGGTTTGAAGGAGTAGCCTAGTTTGACATTTTGGGAAATACACGTATTTGCTCAGTCAAAGATCCACACCTCTAAATCCATACAACAAATAAAATGTAAAGATGATTTTGGAAGGAGGGTAATGTGCTGGACTACTTCTTGGCCAAGAGCAATTCACCTCCTGCTGTCTTATGAGCTTTAGAGGTGCTTTTGGGCTGATTTTGCAACCTTTGGACAGAAAAAGCTGGGTTCCTTTCTGTTTTATGCTAAACTAAGCTGTTAGCTGTAACGTCATATTTACCCTACAGATTAGCCCCAGTTTGTATGTTTGAAAAGCCCAGAGGGTTGTTGCAATAAGACTTAGTGCTGAGTTCTGAAGATACTACCACAATCCTCAAAAACTTTTCTAACTATCTGGGTGGAAAATAAGTCCATACGCTTAACAATAAACTAATTTTCAACCAAAATCTGTATTCTAATTATATGGAAATTGTTTTTTCATCCAGATTTTGGTCTTCATGAACAACATTCTTGGTTTTACAAACATTGCTGAATAATTATCTTTTAGAGAGAGAAACGTAAACATAAACTGGGGCTAATCTGCGCGATAAATACGAAGCCAGCCGGCAGCCAGATAGCTTAGCTTAGCATAAAGACTCAAAACAAGAGCAGGCGGCCTGGCTTTGTCCGAAAGAAACAAAATCCACCTAACAAGATATAACATGGGAATTAGTGAGCTTTAGAGGTGCTGTTTAGCTACCATTTCCAGTCGGTATCACTCCCTCCAGGATATCGCAGGCTTTGTGGGATTGATGTGGCCTAAAATGCTTGATTTCACAGCAGCTTTTCAAGATTCTTTTTTGCAAAATTGCGAGAGAAAGTGAAAATTGCAAAAAAATAGTTGAGATGAAATTCGCTGGAAACAACAATGATAGGTCAAATTTGCAGAAAACGTTGAAGTGATTGGACAAAATTGCGAGGATCGTACAGAATTCGCAGTGATTGGTTGAATTTGTGTGCAACTTCCTGGAGGGACTGCTTTGTGCTAAGCTAAGGTAATGACTGGTGGTTATAGCTGCATATTTACCCTACACACATAAGAGTGGTGTCAATTTCCCTCCCAAAAAACTGTCAAACTCCTTTAAGCTTCATCGTTCATTTACAACTTTTGCTTTGAATAACATCCCCGTTCTTTAAGAATGTATCTGCAGTGGAGCCTAAGGTGGATGGGAAGTGAGTCTCCATATTTTGGCAAAATTTCTAATAAGCCAACATTAATAATCACACGGGTAAATTGGAGATTTAGAAAATATAAGATAAATTAGTCTGAATATTCCTTGCAACTGACACATGCTACACCTCAAGACTTTCCCAAATTCTAAAGATTCTCAGCCACTGGTGGTCTGTTATCTAAACTTTAGCTGGGTTTTCTACTCTGACAAGGGACATGTCATCAATGTGTAGCCCTTTATTCAAAAGCATGTGTCTGTTTGGCAACAACAGCTATTTCCTGCCCTCAATGTAACCCTTATTCTCACAGGAGCCGTGGTTCAACAGAAATTATGTTTCACTTGTTCTTTTCAACCCTCTGAGCTGTACAGACAATGCTGTATATCACTGTCCTTAATCCTGCTGGGTTAAAGCCGACAGTCTCTCTTCCTCTGCTCTAGTTATCTCTCAACAAACTGAAATGTACTAAAAAAATAAATAAAATGTGACTGGAAAAATAAACCTGTTCTCACTCTATTTTTTTTTAATAAATGGTGGGTGCTTTTTTTGGACTTAGGCTGGTATCTGGGAAGGATTGGAGAGAGGGGGATGTTGGAAACTGATGAGAAACAAAAACCTATGTTTGTCTCAAGGCAACAATCCTATTTTGCAACAAATCAATGCACCAAATTCAAGTATCTTTTTTTATTTTTTAAATCCAGCCATCCTGCCCCCTGCAAGTGTCCATCCAGCTGTAGTTTCTGAGGGGACTTAAACACCCATCTGTTGATACTTTAGGTACATTATACAGATGATATTTACTTAAAGGTGCTTTTACTTGAGTAAAAGATCTGAATACTTCTTCCACCACTGGTTATGATTATTGGCAAGGTTGGAAGGGGTTACTTTAAAAATGTAATCTGATACAATTAAATAAAAAATGTAGTCAGTAACCTAATTAAAGTATCACAATATTAAAGAAACAACGTAGATTTTTTTTTTTAAGATGAACTCAACAACAAATATGCAAATGAAGTGGGGGAAAAAAATCAATGTAACATGTATTCTGTAAGACAATAGAACAACCGTTAAAACAAATAGAAACCAAGATGTTTTGCCTCAAAAATTTGTGTATTTTTTAAGAAAAAGTTCAAAATTCAGGCAGTAGCACATAGACCTGTAACAGGTTTGTTTTTTGTTACTCCTCAAGTCTCGTCATTGCTTATTTTAGTATTATTATTATTATTATTATTATAGTATTATTTTTTGTCTTTTTTTTGTTGTTTTTTAAAGAGAATGTTTGTGTGTGAGAGAGAGAGACATGCCACTGGGATTCTAGAATGTGTTCCGATTCTAGACTATCACAATCTTGACATCACAAAGGAATTCTAGAATTTGGAACTCATCAGGGCACACAGTTTACAAAACTCACATAAGATCTCACACCAAAAGAGACCAAAGACTATTGAAATACCGAAGACCAGTACGTATCCTATAGAAAATGACAGAACCACAAACAAGTTCCGTATCTCAAGAAAACACACAAGAGACGATCCTCATCCTAGTGAAGGAAAACAACTCCGAGGTCACCATGAACCGACCTCAAACGTCTACGGAGTCTGCTGACCCGTCTGCTGACCCATCTGCCTCTGGTGAGTCCACAACCAAGGCAGAAAGTGAGAACCAGCTCCGGTTGTTCGTTACCCTGCTGACAGCGAGATTGTTGATGAAGTGTCACGTTCTCCAGAACCACAAACAGGAGAAGTGGATCGCTCACATGAAGAATCTGGTAAACCAGACAATGGTGGGACTCGCCGTCCCTGAAGGCTGCTGCCCGGACGTCAAAAGCATCAAGAAAGTCTGCAAGGCCGTGCTGAAGGATCTGGAGAAGAAGTTCTTCAGTAGGAAGCTGCTGGAGTCCGTGATAACCTCTGAGGATCCAGCTGTGGACGCAACCATCGTCCAGTCTTTGCAGGATCACATCAAAGACTTCTCTGCTCGGTCTGCAAAGAAAGGCGCCCCCGGCAGCTGGTGGAAGACTACGCTCCAGGTCACTGCTTGCATTGCAGGCTTTCTGGCCGCCGTCTTTTTACTGATACTCATCCCATAAAGCGGCACACCAGCAGCTGCAGGTGGAGGAGGCTGCGGAAGATTGAACTGCGGCCTCACAGAAATCAAGAAATACACCTGCCTGACTTAAGAATGGGTTTTTCTCCGGGATGCTCCGGTTTCGCCAACACGCACGGGTTTTTCTCCGGGATGCTCCGGTTTCCCAAACACCACGGGTTTTTTCTCCGGGATGCTCCGGTTTCCCAAACACTTTAATTTTGACCAATAAAAGTACTGAATTGCATTTATGAAGTCTGAGGAATTTATTAAATTAGTTATAAGACAGATAATGTGGATTAGATCCTAATGTGGTAGAAATAGATGACTTAATAAACACAAAGTGTATAGTGTGAACGTGTATAAACAATCACACAAAAATACTAAACCTTTAATAGGACTGAGTATTGAGCCATAACATTCAGTCCAGGGTCCAAAAAAATCATTTACACTCTTCAAATAATATAAAATATTACATTATTATTTAATAGATATTATTGTGCACCAATCCAGATAAATGTTATGTCAGTTTCATAATATTTTAAGTTTCGAGGGCTGTTTTCTTTTAGTAATGTTTGTTTTTTTAGATGGAATACAAGTTAGTTTTCACAGTCGTTAACATACAATCGATAGTAATAATAGTGAAATATTATCTTTTGTATAAAAACAGCAATGGGTAAAAAATAACTAAAAGAAACACAAACCTGTTAATAACGTAACTAACCTGATTTTAAGTAATATCCATAAGACATTTAATATTTCCAAAAGAAAAAAGCATCAAATAGCACTCGTAAGTGCAACAATAGCTCTAGCGAAGATAGGAAAGCATAGCTAGTGTTACTTATTTTAGCAAAATATATATTCAAATGTGAAAAAGTACTCATCCTGCAGTAAAATGGCCCCGTTTCTGGATGAATATTACTGCTGTATTACTGTTTATGTTGCATTTTACTGATGTAGTTGTTTAAATGTAGGGTAACTATATAATATACTGTTGGGTAGTTAAATCTACAGAAATGAATCATTTCAATATAATGGTCATGTGTTTGTAGAGCCACTGTCCTGGGACAAACAACAAATCTCTAAAAGAACTCAAGAAAAACAGCCTGTTTTCTGCTTTGTGACAAAGCATTTTACAATTACTAACCAGGGTTTTAAAAGAGTTTATTTAGCTTAAGAAGTAGGAGGATTTTCTCAACCCACTGAGGAAAACTTTATCAGATAAAATTCACATTCAAAATCACCAATTTTGGAGATACATGGGTTCTACTGAACAAACAACTGGTTTTTTTTGGGGGAGTATTATTATTACTGAAAGGTATTAGTAATTAGTTATTAAATGCCAGTTATTAAATATATTAGTAAATAGTTATAATAATTTTTAATCTATTGTAATGTAGTATTTGCCTCCAAGATGTGTAAGTGTAAAGTTACTCAAGTACAGTAGAGTAATTGTAGTTGGTTTCATTACACCACTTCCCAAAATTCCCACGTTCACTCTAATTGTTTTATTATTTTGATATTTTACAATATCAGTGTGGTCTCTGCTGTGCTGTAGCTCCACATATTACCACTGGGTGGAAGCACATACATCTACTTTACTAAGAATTTGGCACTACTTTTCTTCAGTCCCGCACTGATACCTGCAGGTACTTGACTCCTTTTCTAACCTCTCTGTTACGAGCTCTCATCCTCAGAAGAAAAAGAAGAATAAAACACACAGAGCAGCAGGTCAAGGTCTCATCTCTTTGCCCAAATTGTTCTTCTTTAACTTCATTCATTGTTTAATGAATACAGTGAGAGACAAATAAATACAGACAGAACAGCGGCTAAAAGGGGAAACTGGAGAAGAAGTGGAAGATGCGGAAGTGGAGTGTGGAAAAGTCGAAGGGGATGGAGGAGGAGCAGGTTATGAGCAGGACTACAGTTGATCCCTCTAAGCCCTAAATGTTTTATTCTGTATTCGTCTTCTGTTGTGATCATCCCACGGGCCTGATTCTACTGAATATAATGGCAACTGGGTGCGTTTTAAAGAATTAACAACTCAAGTAAAACAGTCCCATATGTGAACGTTGTTGCAAGTTGAGAAAAAAACAAAAAAACCCTAGAAGTGCAGGTTAGTAAGGAGGGAAAACGCAGGGGAGAAAAGACGATGCGAGAGAACCCTCACTCACAATCTGCAAAGATAACAGGAACATACTTAAATCATTAAAAAGAATACAAAAATTGCCTCGTTGCCTTTGGTTTTTTTGTTAGTTTTTACTTGAAAAAATACTTTAAAAAGTAACAAATCAACAGAAAACAGTAGTGGTGGAAGATTGAGCTCGACTTGACAGAGAACATATTCAAAATAAAACAGAATTAGTGCGCGCGCTTTCATTCGAGCAGCACACTACAACTTCTAGAGATATTTTAAACGCGCCCTCTCATCTGTCGAGCTCTGGGGTGAACATACACATGACCTGGGGGGTGAGGGGGTTTGTTTTTTTATTGACTAAGGAGAACATAGTTAGCAGAAGGGGATGTGGACGCTGTGCTGTCGATATTAAGACTTGTCTGCTGATTTGAGGAGGTTTTCTCTGCTCCTTCTCTTCACGTCCCAGTTGTAGACTCGTGCCATGTCTGTGGGGAGCAATGGGTTAAGGAACAAAAGCAGCGCAGCGACATTTTTACTTCACGTGTTGGAGCTCGAGGCGCTCACTTGTGAGTGATGCCGATATTTAAAACTGTAGAACTATACCTATCAAAACTAAACTCGTTTATTTAAGAGGCTAGAATTAATACTGAAGTGCTGAAACATTAGATTATTTGATCAACAGTGAAGTTGAAGGCATCACATTGGATTCTGAGAAAAATCGTGATGGGCATTTTTATATTTTCTGCCATTAATTTAAAGGTGGGGTCAGTCATCGTTGAAAAAGATAGTTGAATGTTGTCAAATACTGATGCTTCGGGTTATGATATATCACAACAAGTGGCGTTCGTGCTCACGGGTCGTTGGTATTTACGCGAATGAGAAGCAACAATCTTCCTCCAGAACGCCTGATCGCCCCTTTAAAATCGATTAATCGGAAAAATAACCAGCAGATTTATCAGTAATGATACATTTAAACTGCTTTTAAGAAGGGTCGGTTCACTCAAATGACAAAATACTTATATTCTTGCTTACCTCAAGTTTCTATGAATGTAGTCTGGAAATTTAAAGACACACCTTTTCAGCTTAACATTTTAAACAGTTTAACTAGCAATTAATGGTGTTAAATATCATCTTATTAACTTTCTTCTATAAAAATGTTTTTAAAAAGACCTTCATGGAGATAAGGACTCCTGGCAAATGACTGATTGATATAGTCGATAATGATCACCTAATGCTCTCAATGTAATATAGCATTAAGCTACGAGTCGACAAACTGACAGAAGAACAGAGCATTAACATTTTTCTTCTTTTCGTTTTGTTTTCACCATTTGTTGTGCTACCTTTTTACCTACTGTATGTGGACAGAAACTGTTCAAATGGGGGGAAATTCATGACGAGAGAACAAATTTGGGAAAATAGTCAAGTTACGCTCGAAGCAGACAATTCAACACCCGACACAGACCCTTTCAAACGAGAAGCATTGTGGCAGGATGTCAAAATCACCAACCCAATCGAGGCCTTATTACGTCCCACTTGAATCAGAAAGCTGCTGCACCAGTTCTGAACATGTTATGTTCTTGTTGATCTGATTGAATATTTAAAAACCGAGCTGTAGACTGTTTAAAAGTTTAGTGAACATAATGATAATAAAAGCAGCTTTCATTCTAAAGACTAAAACAATAAATAAAACATGAGTTTGTATGACATGTGACAACAGCTCCACAGAACTTTCTTTCTTCTTTCTTATTAATGTGAATCAGCAGGGAGACCAACCTGGGTGGACTACATTATTGTGGAAGGATACTGACTTCGGTGGTGGTGAACTGGTCTCGCAGGAAGTCCAGATCGTCTTCGAGTGTCTCTAGATTACGAGATGCTGTGGACAGGTTCTTCTCTAGGAGAGCCTGGGCTTCATCAATGTCGTACTCTAACATGACGTTAGCCTTTGAGGGGGAAATGTTGGGGCGGGGGAAAAAAGATGTAAGAAAGGACTCAAGTTATGGCCTTCACCCCGACAATAACACTTTTTAATGTGAAATAACTTTAGGACTTCTGCCCACACTTGTCTCGTTACTATTTCATTTCTTTTGCCTGTCTGTAAAAATGCTCTCAAGAAATAAAACCGACCTTCAGCTGAGCTCTACTTACCCCTAACCACAGGCACACTTTGTCGGTGGGCGGCACTAAGGCCTTGCAGTAAACATTGTCAGCCAACAGGTAGTGTGTCTCCATTGGCTCTGTGGTCTCCTGGGAAAACAAAAACATTACAGCAAACGGGTCAGAAGTTATTCTGGCCATTATTCATTTTTATATCCCACTAACACAGTTCTCTTTGTATTTTTTCGAGACAGAGGAGACGAGTGCTCCTTCAGAGTATCGTAAAGAAACATCTCAACAGCCACAACAACCTTGAAAATACATTCTTAATATATATTTATTCAAGTCGATTTTATGAGGTATTGAAAACAGGGTCAACAGAAAAACGTATTTTAGCCACATAACTAAACTCACACCTTAAAAATATATGTGGAATCGGTGTGTGAGATTTAGTGGCATCTCTTTTTAAGGTGATTATACACTAATGAAAACATACCTATGAAGATTATTACACACTGGTCCTTTAAGAACATTGTCTCCGCTTCACCTTCCTGTCAGACCGCCCTTTCCTTTGGGACTTTATGTCCTCAGGCCGTTCAGTATCCATCTGGAAAAGTTCCTTCTCTCTATATTCTGGTTCATAAAGGTATCCCCTTTGCTGTTGCTGTCATAATCCCCAATTTTTCATTTTCTCTTCCCTAAACCACTGTGACTCCGATCCAAACAGCTGATCCGCAGCGTCATAAGCCGTGCACGGCACAGTTGGGTTATGGGTTGAGACAACATAGTGCCCAAGGAAAGGGCTGTCTGACGGCAGGGTAAAGCGGTGAAAATATTCTTAATATACCACACACTATACACTGATATTGATTGATTTTTATGGTTTTTTTCTGTTCTGCATTGCTCTGCTTCTCCAAACTGGGGGCGCGCTGACCTCTGCCTACTACAGGTAATACACAAGTAACGACTACGGATAAGTTACCCCACTTCAAAAACACTCAAACTATGCATTTAAGGGGCTCATTAGAAACACTGACCTAATCTATACTGTGGTGTATAAAGACAGAGTTATATGAACAAAATACTGCGACAGGAGCTTCGTAAGGATGGGTGTGGGTACAGAAAGGTGATGGAGAGAGCAAAGAGGCTTGACTTGGTTCGGCTGACGCATCTCTCATTGGACTGTTCGCACACATTCATCGACAACAAATAATAACAAAGTGGGCGAGATCTACGGGTGAATCATGAAACGTCTGGGGGAAAACAGACAGTTCAACGTTTACAAGGAAGATACACACCTTTTTCTTCTGCATGTGTCGTAGGATTTCTAGCGTCTGTGTGATTTGTGGGATCTGGCTTTTCAACCTAAATATCGAGAGAGTCAAGTAAGGAAGGCATTCATTATGTAACTGGTGACGTGGTGATTTGATTCAGGCGCAATACATTCTGTGATCTTAAATATTTAACCATAGTTTTATACAGCAAGCACGCTGCGTTGGCACATTTCATTGTAAAAACAACGTATTTAGACAAAACCTTATCTATCCCTTTTCTTGAAATACTCTTTTCTTGTACAAATGACAAACTTCTCTCTAATATCTCACCCTATTTTCCACAGAACAAAGTCGATAAGTCAAGAATATTATGTGAAAACTAGCTGCTCTTCTACGGCAGTTATTATTAAGCAGCACAGCCGAACAGCGCAGTACCACGCAGACACACTCCAGGGTGAGTTTGTCTCATTCTGTCGCTGCTACCTGAGTTTCTTTTGAGACAGGTTGAGCTCCATGTATTTATATTTCTGGTACTGTTCGTCCAGCTTCCTCAGTGCCGAATCTGCCGTCTCGTTGCCTGGCTGCTTCATAAAAGAGTCGACATCCTCCTGTAAAATCCAGCAGAGGAGAGAGTGAGAGTCAGACTTTAAAGCCAGCCACCAGCCCCGCAACCAAAGACAACTAAAGAAACGTGCAAATATGACGACAACCACAGAAAACAATATTTAAATGGTTAATAATCCATTACCAGATCTGTTGGCAAAACAACTTTGTGAATGACTAATCATATATTTTTTCATCCAGATGTTTTTCAGAAGCCTCGAGAGAAAATTATTCACTAATTACACACGTAAAAAAAAACACTCGAATTAAGAGATAAATCCAAATGATCAGTCAGAGCCAATCGACGGGCCACTGAGCTGTTTAGAAGGGAAACAAATCTCCAAATCATGGTTCAAAGTCACAGTTGACAAGATAAGAAGATAGACGCCGCTCTAAACTTACAAATAATGAATGGAAATAGCTAGTTATTACAGATCTGGGCTATAACTCACACGTCAACCCTCCTGAATCGTCACCAATATGCTTTTATCTTTAAGCATAAACGTAACAATTCTTTTCTCTGAAGCCCGTTTCTTACCACAGTAACTCTTGAACGTCTAAGAAACAACTTCTGCTTGTTTAATTTCCTGGGTGGGACACAAAGGTGGACTTTTTAGGTAAATAATGTTACGCTTTATGTGCTCGACCATGCACAAAATGACTAGTTTTGCTTAACTCTGTGTGTGAATAAATAAATAGGCATATTCAGCCGCTGGATGTGTTGAGATTTATTTTAAACGTAAACTCAAAAGCAGCCTGGCTTTAAACTAATGGAACAGTTTTTAGACAATATTTACCATTTTTTACTTAGTTATTTTATTGAATTTTCTTTCTAAATGTTTCTTTTTTTGATTATTAGAATTTTCTTTTTTTACTCTTGGATGCTTTGCAGTTATGGAAAGAAGCTAGATTTACTCAAGTACTGTACTTAAGTACAATGTTGAGGTACTTCTTTACACTGCAGACAATATTTAGACAATATTTACCATTTTTTACTTAGTTATTTTATTGAATTTTCTTTCTAAATGTGCATTTATTTTAAATATACTTTTTCTTGTTTGTTATTTCTGCCTGCTTTCTTAATTTATTGGTTTTTAGTATAACTTTAATTAAATACTACCTTATACCTGTACTTCATTGTCATTTCATCAATGCATTTCAATTTTTAAATCTACCTTATTACAATTATCGTCTGTGAAGCACTTTAAACTGCACTGAACTGTATGAAATTAAATCAAACTATATAAATAAAGTTTGATTTACTGATTGATTCATTAAAAAAGCTGAACCTCCACCATGTACTTCTACGATCATAATAGTTAATAATAACTTAAAG